ATTTTTGTTTAGTTAAATTTTGTAACTATTTTATTTATTATTTATACATTATAATATCATAACCATTTTCCCTGTGAAAACTTGCAAGCTTCTCATGCCAGCGGCAATAACCAGCTTATTAAATTGCAATCAATCTTTCTCCAAGGAAAGACACACAAGACGATGACGCCTCACCGCCGCGACGTTTCACATTGAATTACCAATTTTACTGTCACGGTTGTGGCAAATCGATAAGGAAAGCGAAAACAAAATCGAAGCAGAGCAAAGGAAACACCTGGCCAATGTCAATCGATGACCTTGCACACAATGTCAGATGTGCAGAGAGGGTGGCGAAGGGGGGCTTTGCATATAAAACAAAGGAAGAAATGCCGAAATAACACATTTGCCATGCATGCTTTCTCATTCTATACAGACACTTGTTGACCTCGTAATTGCCTTTGTTATTCCACCTTTGATGTACACGAAAATATGGAAAGGTTTAGTTGGGATTTTGTATCATAATTTGCAACATTTACAACATTCCTCATATTTTATTTAATTCTTCATATTTGGTGCTCCGTAAATCCTCGAAATCTGCCTGTCACTAAAAAGTTGTATTTTATGCATCACAAAAAGACAGAACTGTTATATCGTCGAATATTTTATATCCCGAAGTCTGTAAGATTTCCTAGTTTTCATAGCGTACTTTTAGGTACTTTTATAGGTGATTTAAAAATGTATGTTTTTGGTTTTTTAGTCCTAATGTTTTTCCCTAACAAAGGTGTTTACTCACCGATTGTGTAGGTGGCACCGTCCACCGTGAATGTGGCCGCTTTGCATTTGTTAAAGAACCGCGAGGCGAAATCCAACGCTGAATTTTTTAAGCTCGACGATACCCTGCGGATGGGTGAGTCCGGGCAGGAACTGGGTGGATGCCGCTCCGGCGACACCTGGTGGTGCAGCACCTGCTGCTGGCTTGCCACTCCGCTGGTCACCGTGTTGTCCGAGGTCAGTCGTGCCGTGAGGACCGCGGGCACCACCGGTGGCTGGGCAGGTGCACTCGGAATGGATCCTGGAACAGGATCTCTACTCGTCACCGGTGTGGCCGTCCCGGGGGCCAAACGGCGTGGCGCATTCGACAGATTCAAATTGGACATTTTGCACACTCGCGCGTCACGTTTCCTCTTTTTTGCTATGTGGATTTTATCTCTATCGCAGGTCACTTGATAACACTCATTTTGCTGGACGCTGAACAAAGGTCAGGGTTTCAATTAGCCACCTGCTCATCCGAAAAGAATTAGTTTTCAGGGCGATCTGACCCCGACCAAGCCAATTTGTTGTAATTAACGTTGGGAAATTGAAAGCCAAACAAAAATTCGTTTGCCAAGGGCAAAAATTGCAAGCAAATATAAGGTTCCACAGCAAGATTTCCAAAAAAATATGGGCACTTCCAAAATGTCGCTCGGGACATTTGCACACCTTTAAAGTTGAAAAAAAATTGTACAACAATGGATTTTAATTTTAATTATAGGCTTTTCTTTTCACTCTTCTCAAGCTCTATTTTTTGTAAAAATCTTGATTTTGTACCACTTTTAGTTTTTAAGATATCGTTAAAAAACTGCCGTATTCGCTCGGGACAAAAATAGAAGTAGATTTCGGGGAAGTCCATACAACACCAGAAATTAGCGAATTCTGATGGAATATTTGAATGCGATTTTTTTTAGAATGTTGTTCAAACATGTCGCTATGAAATGCTTTTGGTTTTACTCAAAAATTCTTTGCCGTTTTTTTTTTATGCAGTTTCAACCACATTCGCTCGGGACATGTTGCTCGGGACATTTTTTCCGACTGTTTTGTAAAGCGGATTTCTTTACCTCTATCTCTCAATTGCTGGATGTTTTGCTTTTAACTTAATAGTTTAGCATGTGAATGAAGCATTCAGTACAGAAAAATGTCACATATTAGCATTCCTATAGGATAAATTTACAACAAAAGACAGGTCCAAAAAATAACAAAAAAAATAGCCAAAAACTGATTTTTGCGTATATTGGTGGGGTTTGTCATAAAAATAATCAAACTATACTCCAAATTTGTAGTTAAGCTCAGTATCTAACTAATTAGAAACTAATATCGGGGCAAACTCATGTGGAAATATGTTTTATTCAAGTTTCAAAGTTTTTGGCTTGGTGGACTTTTTTTTTGGAAGTGCCCATATATATTTTCACCACGAGCTTTTAAAAATGACTTTTCTTTTAAATAAAAGAGCTTCAAAAATAGTTGGAAGCACAGACTTTTCAAACTTTTAGCCCTTTTGGAATTTATTTTAGAACTGTTTTACTCACAGAAACTTCGTTTTTTATTCGCCCTCAAAGACTTATCTTTCTTAAATTCCCATTTTTATTTGAGAAGTTTAAGAGCGGGTTTGCATATCTCTGCTTGCACAGCAGGAAATATTTGTGAAACCGTCGCTGGCATGCCAGCAAAACCCAATTTCAATTTGAAACATTTAATTGAGCAATAAAAAACGTCCGAACGTCTCATTACCAAAGTTAATTTAAATTTCGAAAACATTTTGCTGCAACCGCAATTCAGCAATTTGTATCTCTGTGTGGAAATGCGGATGTTATTGTGAATATTGTGGACATACCTACAATAGATCTGTATCAATTTATCTGCCAACCCTCTTTTCCGGTAGTTTAGCCATTTGCAGTTTCAATTCGTTTTCAGCTTTGAAAATTTAAGCAAAATTGCAATTACAACTAGGAGTGTGCGAAAAGCAAAATCCTGGAAAATTAGTGTCCACATACAAACATGTGTCGAATGCCACCGAAAAGCAAGCAAAGCGGCAGCGATGATGATGATGATGAAAATGGAGATGATGATTGCAGTCAATAAAAACGGAATTACCCAGGCTGAACCAACGTTTTGGTGGGTGGTGAGGTGGGCGTGGCACAGGTTAACCGGATGCCGAGAGGGGTTAAGTGGGGTTTTGGGTGTTCGGGGGGAATTGCCAGTACTTTGGCATTGAGTTGATGACTTTGCCGCTGTCTCTGGCATATTTCTGGCCCTCTAAAATGCGACGAATTAAAGTAAATTGCTTGGAAATAATCACATCCAGTGCCGCACACGCACACACTTACACGCAGAGGCCTAGATACACACCCATACCCACGCAAAACAGGCGAAACCGCCAGACAATGAGTGGCTGGCTTTCTGCGGCTAAATTGCCACCGGTTCCACAGCTTTTTGTGATAATGGCATTCAAATGTATACATTAGAGGTTTTGCTGTTTTTCCCGCTTATCGCGCTGCGGAAAGGCGCCGGGAATTGCCACATCAAATACCGCAAACAAAAAAAAGGTACAAACACAAACAATGGCCATAAAAATATATTTCAACGCAGATTCAGATGGGTCACTATCCATGAAATGTGCGTTGTTAATGACAGAGTGCTGGAATAATTCTCTACACTTAAGCTCCATTCAAAAGGATTTTAATCGGCAGCCAGTGGTTCAGCTTTCAGCAGCCCACAAATCATAATCCTCATAAAAAACCACTCAACTTTCTATCCCGCTTTCGCGACTTTGTCTGTCCGCCCTTCAATGGCATTACTACAATTTTTTTGCTCATTCGTTTACCTGTAGAAAAGCTGGAATGAAATGGTAATATTACTGCTCTATATAGACACCCCTGGTTTTATTATCAGTCTCATTCGCTTGTCTGTCTTTGTTTATGTCGTGTCAACACCCTGAAAGATGGACGCAATGCCTCGGTTCTGCAAAAAAAGGAACTACCAGCTGCCATAGGAACGGTCGAAAAATTAAATGGAAATTAATGGGAAAAAAATTATATCTTTGTTGGTTTTTATCACATTTCTAGTCTAGTCTGGGATATGACTATTTTGAAATATTTCCGAATTTCGATTTTAATTTTTAAAAGATCGAACTACTATATCATATAGCTGTGATAGAAACGATCGAAAAATTAATGTAAAATAAAAAGAAATTTAACATTTTTGCGATTTGTAAATTAATAGAATGATCTGGAAGGGTATATAAGCTTCGGCTTGCCGAAGCTAGCTTCCTTTCTTGTTTTTATATATTTTATTTATTTTTTATATCTTAACCATTTTCCTGGAAATTTGTTTTTTTTATAAAGATATTTATACATTTTTAATAAAATTTTATTTTTAAAGAAACATTAAATTCAAAAAAATGTATTTTAATTTAATATAATTGTTTAAGTTGACAGTCTCCCATTTTTGTTTAGTTAAATTTTGTAACTATTTTATTTATTATTTATACATTATAATATCATAACCATTTTCCCTGTGAAAACTTGCAAGCTTCTCATGCCAGCGGCAATAACCAGCTTATTAAATTGCAATCAATCTTTCTCCAAGGAAAGACACACAAGACGATGACGCCTCACCGCCGCGACGTTTCACATTGAATTACCAATTTTACTGTCACGGTTGTGGCAAATCGATAAGGAAAGCGAAAACAAAATCGAAGCAGAGCAAAGGAAACACCTGGCCAATGTCAATCGATGACCTTGCACACAATGTCAGATGTGCAGAGAGGGTGGCGAAGGGGGGGCTTTGCATATAAAACAAAGGAAGAAATGCCGAAATAACACATTTGCCATGCATGCTTTCTCATTCTATACAGACACTTGTTGACCTCGTAATTGCCTTTGTTATTCCACCTTTGATGTACACGAAAATATGGAAAGGTTTAGTTGGGATTTTGTATCATAATTTGCAACATTTACAACATTCCTCATATTTTATTTAATTCTTCATATTTGGTGCTCCGTAAATCCTCGAAATCTGCCTGTCACTAAAAAGTTGTATTTTATGCATCACAAAAAGACAGAACTGTTATATCGTCGAATATTTTATATCCCGAAGTCTGTAAGATTTCCTAGTTTTCATAGCGTACTTTTAGGTACTTTTATAGGTGATTTAAAAATGTATGTTTTTGGTTTTTTAGTCCTAATGTTTTTCCCTAACAAAGGTGTTTACTCACCGATTGTGTAGGTGGCACCGTCCACCGTGAATGTGGCCGCTTTGCATTTGTTAAAGAACCGCGAGGCGAAATCCAACGCTGAATTTTTTAAGCTCGACGATACCCTGCGGATGGGTGAGTCCGGGCAGGAACTGGGTGGATGCCGCTCCGGCGACACCTGGTGGTGCAGCACCTGCTGCTGGCTTGCCACTCCGCTGGTCACCGTGTTGTCCGAGGTCAGTCGTGCCGTGAGGACCGCGGGCACCACCGGTGGCTGGGCAGGTGCACTCGGAATGGATCCTGGAACAGGATCTCTACTCGTCACCGGTGTGGCCGTCCCGGGGGCCAAACGGCGTGGCGCATTCGACAGATTCAAATTGGACATTTTGCACACTCGCGCGTCACGTTTCCTCTTTTTTGCTATGTGGATTTTATCTCTATCGCAGGTCACTTGATAACACTCATTTTGCTGGACGCTGAACAAAGGTCAGGGTTTCAATTAGCCACCTGCTCATCCGAAAAGAATTAGTTTTCAGGGCGATCTGACCCCGACCAAGCCAATTTGTTGTAATTAACGTTGGGAAATTGAAAGCCAAACAAAAATTCGTTTGCCAAGGGCAAAAATTGCAAGCAAATATAAGGTTCCACAGCAAGATTTCCAAAAAAATATGGGCACTTCCAAAATGTCGCTCGGGACATTTGCACACCTTTAAAGTTGAAAAAAAATTGTACAACAATGGATTTTAATTTTAATTATAGGCTTTTCTTTTCACTCTTCTCAAGCTCTATTTTTTGTAAAAATCTTGATTTTGTACCACTTTTAGTTTTTAAGATATCGTTAAAAAACTGCCGTATTCGCTCGGGACAAAAATAGAAGTAGATTTCGGGGAAGTCCATACAACACCAGAAATTAGCGAATTCTGATGGAATATTTGAATGCGATTTTTTTTAGAATGTTGTTCAAACATGTCGCTATGAAATGCTTTTGGTTTTACTCAAAAATTCTTTGCCGTTTTTTTTTTATGCAGTTTCAACCACATTCGCTCGGGACATGTTGCTCGGGACATTTTTTCCGACTGTTTTGTAAAGCGGATTTCTTTACCTCTATCTCTCAATTGCTGGATGTTTTGCTTTTAACTTAATAGTTTAGCATGTGAATGAAGCATTCAGTACAGAAAAATGTCACATATTAGCATTCCTATAGGATAAATTTACAACAAAAGACAGGTCCAAAAAATAACAAAAAAAATAGCCAAAAACTGATTTTTGCGTATATTGGTGGGGTTTGTCATAAAAATAATCAAACTATACTCCAAATTTGTAGTTAAGCTCAGTATCTAACTAATTAGAAACTAATATCGGGGCAAAATCATGTGGAAATATGTTTTATTCAAGTTTCAAAGTTTTTGGCTTGGTGGACTTTTTTTTGGAAGTGCCCATATATATTTTCACCACGAGCTTTTAAAAATGACTTTTCTTTTAAATAAAAGAGCTTCAAAAATAGTTGGAAGCACAGACTTTTCAAACTTTTAGCCCTTTTGGAATTTATTTTAGAACTGTTTTACTCACAGAAACTTCGTTTTTTATTCGCCCTCAAAGACTTATCTTTCTTAAATTCCCATTTTTATTTGAGAAGTTTAAGAGCGGGTTTGCATATCTCTGCTTGCACAGCAGGAAATATTTGTGAAACCGTCGCTGGCATGCCAGCAAAACCCAATTTCAATTTGAAACATTTAATTGAGCAATAAAAAACGTCCGAACGTCTCATTACCAAAGTTAATTTAAATTTCGAAAACATTTTGCTGCAACCGCAATTCAGCAATTTGTATCTCTGTGTGGAAATGCGGATGTTATTGTGAATATTGTGGACATACCTACAATAGATCTGTATCAATTTATCTGCCAACCCTCTTTTCCGGTAGTTTAGCCATTTGCAGTTTCAATTCGTTTTCAGCTTTGAAAATTTAAGCAAAATTGCAATTACAACTAGGAGTGTGCGAAAAGCAAAATCCTGGAAAATTAGTGTCCACATACAAACATGTGTCGAATGCCACCGAAAAGCAAGCAAAGCGGCAGCGATGATGATGATGATGAAAATGGAGATGATGATTGCAGTCAATAAAAACGGAATTACCCAGGCTGAACCAACGTTTTGGTGGGTGGTGAGGTGGGCGTGGCACAGGTTAACCGGATGCCGAGAGGGGTTAAGTGGGGTTTTGGGTGTTCGGGGGGAATTGCCAGTACTTTGGCATTGAGTTGATGACTTTGCCGCTGTCTCTGGCATATTTCTGGCCCTCTAAAATGCGACGAATTAAAGTAAATTGCTTGGAAATAATCACATCCAGTGCCGCACACGCACACACTTACACGCAGAGGCCTAGATACACACCCATACCCACGCAAAACAGGCGAAACCGCCAGACAATGAGTGGCTGGCTTTCTGCGGCTAAATTGCCACCGGTTCCACAGCTTTTTGTGATAATGGCATTCAAATGTATACATTAGAGGTTTTGCTGTTTTTCCCGCTTATCGCGCTGCGGAAAGGCGCCGGGAATTGCCACATCAAATACCGCAAACAAAAAAAAGGTACAAACACAAACAATGGCCATAAAAATATATTTCAACGCAGATTCAGATGGGTCACTATCCATGAAATGTGCGTTGTTAATGACAGAGTGCTGGAATAATTCTCTACACTTAAGCTCCATTCAAAAGGATTTTAATCGGCAGCCAGTGGTTCAGCTTTCAGCAGCCCACAAATCATAATCCTCATAAAAAACCACTCAACTTTCTATCCCGCTTTCGCGACTTTGTCTGTCCGCCCTTCAATGGCATTACTACAATTTTTTTGCTCATTCGTTTACCTGTAGAAAAGCTGGAATGAAATGGTAATATTACTGCTCTATACACTCAGAAAAAAAAATTTCCTTAATTTAAGTCCATTGACCTTGATTTAAGGAATAATGGCTTTAAAATGGCTAAATAAGGCTATACATGGACTTAAAAATTTTTATCCCATATACATTTTAAGTCTACATGGACTAAAAATGGACCTAAGTCCATGTAACAGTCCATATGGCCTTAAGTCCAAAATTAGTCCATGTAGACTTAAAATGTATATGGGATGAAAACTTTTAAGTCCATGAATAGCCTTATTTAGCCATTTTTAGTCCATCGTTCCTTAATTTAAGGAACGTGGACTTAAATCAAGGTAATTTTTTTTTCTGGGTGTATAGACACCCCTGGTTTTATTATCAGTCTCATTCGCTTGTCTGTCTTTGTTTATGTCGTGTCAACACCCTGAAAGATGGACGCAATGCCTCGGTTCTGCAAAAAAAGGAACTACCAGACTTGGATTATGGATTTTCATGGCCATGTGTTTTATGTTATGTTTCAGTACACACAAAAAAATAGTATACATTCCAATTAAAACCAAGTAAATAAAGGGGAAAATTTGAACTCTAATTTTGACAGCTGATGCCTAAAAAGTATGGTTTAAATTCTATTGAAATATTTTTTATTCATTTTTTTTGAGTGTGTATAGCAAGTTATAGTTGTGTGCTTTCCAGCGCTTTCACTTAATTTTTTGTTCGCTGGGCCATACTAATTAATACCTTTGGGCGTTCCTCATGCATAGGTGTGCGTGCCTATGAGTGTGTGTTCGAGTGTGTATGGGTGTGTGCGGCCATGTTTGCAGATAAATTGCGATGCTCAGTGGCTTGGATAAGCAGACCGGCTTTAATTTGGTAAATTAATTCTGAAATATTTAGGTCGCAAATATCCAACCCCCCCGTGGACACACGGTCCCCCCGTCGTCCCACCCCCCGCGAAAACCCAACCCCTCGCACAAGGTCACGGCACGAGGAAAACCCGTCGCAGATAAAAGACTGAGCTATGTATATATATCGAACAAGGAGCGCACAAAAAACGAAACTATGGAGAATGTTGAAAATTTAAGGATTCTTGGTTATAGGGATACAAAGGGGCGGCTGTTGGCATCATCCTTTGATTTGCGCCGAGTATAATCAACTCAGTTGGAAACATTTTCGCGTTAAAACTGAAAAGGAAACTGCCGGAAAAGCAGATATACCATACCAAGCTACCAGGCTCAAAAAAGAAATGAAAGAAGAATAACCCGCAATGGACAAAGGCAAATTGTTGAGGCCGGGCCCAGAAATTTTATATATATGAACGTTTGTATGTGCGGACATAAATAAAAATAAAGGGCCAGCGAATATAAACTTTGGGTAAATTTTGCGGCTTAAGGACAACAATTGGCTGCTCACTTGCCTGCACTGGGCAACAAAAGCCAAGCGGCAGCAACTTTTGAACTTCTAATGAAAATTAATCAAAAATGTTGTGCGGCTTGTTTTTGGCTAAATACGATCAAAGACCTATGCAAATTGGTTTAGTTTTTCGTGTTTTATTCAAAAGCTTCCCCGTTCCCTGTTGCTTAGTGTTATTTTGGAGTTTTTATGTTTTATTTCCACACGAATCCCCCCAAAAAAGTCCCAGCAACACCTGAAAAGGGTTCCTAACCCCAGTTAGATTGACTGAGCAAAAGGGTTTCTCGGGTCAAGCCAACGCCAGCGGGTTTTCGGAGGGGAGTTTTTCAGTTGTTTCAGGTCGGTCGGTGGGTCATATCATGGCCGTCGAGTTAAGTGTTAATCCGCTTTTGTTATTGTTTGCCACACAGCAGGAGTTAGGACGAGGATCAGGTGTCCTTGAGCCCGGAGGTGTTACGGTTTATCTCTCTTTCGGGTTACATAATTGTTAATTTAAAATGTGTTTAATGTGGAAATTTAGTTGTCCCTATGCCCTAATTGCTGGGACCTTCTTCTCCTCGACCTCGTCCATTCGAGCATAAAGCTGGTAATTTATCGAGGGGTTGAGCAGGACAAAACCAACAAATTGCTGTGCAAATATTTGCTGTTAGCCAGCGATTTGTTGTGGCTTCTATTAGGACCACCCGTCTCAGCCAGAAGGGCAACAGGTTTGAGAGCACGGGCCCAAAAGCAACAAGTTGACTTGGCAAACCGAACCACTCCAAGCGCAGTTTTCCTCTTTTCTCCTCGAATATATGTGTGTGTATTTTTCTTTTAGCAATTTCCTGAGTAATTAAAATTGCCACTCGAATCACTTTTCTTTTTTAGCCAGGAACTTCACTTGACGGCACCCGAACTATGCATACACACTGGGCCAAAGCCAAAACGAGCAGCCGAGGGACGAGCACTACGACGAGCGCGATTCGGCGGAAGTGGCGAAGTCGCGATTGGAGGCACTTCCTGTTGCTCTCGGCTGGGCGTATTACCTTCCGGCAAACGTGTTGCCAATCAACTGACTGGCTGCAAATCATGTCCTTGCCTTCAGCTGGCCGTGCGTCTTCCGAAGAAAGAGCGGAACAAATCAAGAGCGGAAGCTCTCAGATAAAAGCTCTGGGAAAACCGAAGAGAGGAAATCCGAAAGAGCGCGCTTGGCAATGATTGTTTATCAGTTAACATGAAAATACACAATTGGCTAATTATAGAAAATATATTTAGACTACAAATAGTTTCGGAGGCTTTTTGGTTTTGAGGAATATTTGTTTACTTTTCGGTTAATACGTCGTAACCGTCAGAAGGTGATATGAATATTAGCCTCGAATTAAAAGGATTTTCTGATCTTTACAATTATTACAAAATATTTACAAATGTGTAAGGAGAGTGCAATTAATAAGAATATAGTTATAGTCTTAAATCATGTAAATTTAATTTAATCCTTTTGATATATTTTGGCCGAAGTGTCGAACAATCAATACAATGTGCTTTCTAAAACCAATTTATTTTAATAAATATTGCGCGTGGCTATAATCGAAAAATATGTCGACAAATTTTTTGTTTCATGGGATTTATTAACAAAAGAATTGATGTTGAAATGAAAAATAAACATATTTAATATTCCCACATATCTTATCACCCTGAATAGCCTTGAGTTTACTATTGATTAACTATGTGCGCCTGTTTTGCTTATCTCCTGCAACAGCTGATTAGAAGGACTCGGGACTGGAGAATTTCTCTTAACTGCCAAAGCTTTTCACCACCGAAAGCTCATAAACTCTCTGGTTCCAAATTCCACTGCCTGCCGCAGGATGGCGCCTAAGTTTTTCAGAGGGAATCCTCGGTTGTTCATGAAAATATTTGGCGGTAAATCTGAAGGCATAGCTTCGGTTAGTCCTGGCACCAAGGATATATTGACAAATGCCTGGCGTAACGCAGACGAGTTGTGTGTAATTTATAACGCCACTGCAGACACGACAAACGACCGAAGACAGCCAACCAAAACCATATGTACAAAAAGATCCAAAAAATAAAAAAAGGCAGAAAAAGTTAAGGAGTCCTTGTCTGACAAACATTCTGCAGGTGTTTAGTTATTTATGCCTTGTCACACGAAGTCTGCACTCCGCATGTAAAAGACAAAACAAATGCTCCGCGCAGACATCATCGGAATGGGTTTCTTTCCCCTGCTCTGCCATAAAGGATTTGACCCAATCCCCATCTCCTTACTCACTTTGTTCCATTTCTCACATTTAAACCTTACTGCAAACCCAGGGCTGCGAGTCCCGAAAATGCTCAAATAAAAACATTTATTGAGCGGTCGTATAAACGAGATTTGAGCAGCTGCCACAGCTAAGTGAAAGTATGTACATTTACATGCTGATGGTTGTTTTTCGGAAAATAATGTCCTGCTAAGATATGCGCACTTCTAATTGAAAAAGTTGTCGGGGGAGACAAGTGTTTTGTGATCCATAATTAAGGGACTTTGAATATTTGGGTAGATTTTAAATGGTCACACAAATTTTTTAATTGAGAACTTGGAATTTTAATTGCTTATCTAAAAAGCTTTTAGCACATATTAAAATACATTTAAACATAATTTGTTTCAAATCTTGTAGTTATTAGGCATACTCTATTTTTATGTTTTCGTTATTAATAATCTTTAAATTTAAATTAAATGTTTGGAAAACGAAATAAAGCCAGTGCAACTAAATGTTTGTACAAGATTAATTGTTAAAACTATTATTGTAAGCAAGAGCTTAAAAATTGTAAGTGCCAAATTAAGCTATAAAGTATACGCCTTCTTCAGTATCCATTTTAAACTTAAAAGTAAAATGTACTGAATTCATATTAAATATTCCTTCGAAACTTAAAATATTTCCTACTATAACAGAGCCTTCCCGTCAAAGTTTTAAATTAAAGTTTTTATCGGAAATTTAATAGCTTTTAATGCTGCTTTGTGAGCCACTCTCAAGTCTTTTAAATTGCAAATTTCACGGCAAATTAAACAATAGTTCAAATTTCTGCTGCCGGTAGCATCGCTTGTCTCTTAAGTGTGGTGGCTGACTCTGGCCATATATCTAGCTGGATATCAAGTCTCGCATGTTGGCCACAAGTCAAGTTGAGAGGAATGGAATGGAGTGGAGCGGAGAGGAGTCTCCTCGGTCTCAAGCTGTGCTGTCTGCTCTGCCTCCTCTGCTTGTGTATTCCACTAGACTATCATGACATTTGAATAATGTGAGCACATTTGGCATTTTATTTTACCATCAGGCATTTGCTGATGTGCTTACACATCTGCCCCTCGCTTTTTTACAACAAAGGGAGCCATCATCTTCTGATGAAATTAAACTGCTCGCCGCCCTTGGTCCTTGACTTGAGTTGCTCAGCTTTTATTTGCCTTTACTATTAAATTCTCATTCATTTGTCTCATCATTTCGCTCACGCCCACAGGGCGGATGAGGTATTGGGTGGCCATTTTCTTTAACATCTTCTATTTTTTTTCGTTTTTTTCTGCCATCCCATCAAGGGGCGTGGTCTAATTACAGCTTGGAGAACTTTTTCATTGTTGCTGCCGTAAAAGTGAAGCTTGCTACAATTCTTTTTTAGAGGGCCATAATTTTCGGTAAACTTTCCAATTAGAAGGTTAAGTATACGCAGCGTAGGCCAGACACAATTTTTTCCTCGGCTTGGCGCAAAGTTTTTCAGCAGCTTGTTATTACTGCCGACCGACCCTTTGCCTTGGACCGTTTTTCTTTCGCCTGCTTCTCATAACAATGCATTGAAATTTTGATTGCAACCATTAAAATGCAAGCGCAACTCGACGGTTTCCGCCCACTGCCACCCACATGGCAGCGCATAATGAGCATTTCACGCAAGTCCCGCAAAGCGCAAGGTCAGCCAAGGACGACAGCACAATTGTTGCTGCTCTCCTTGTTGTTGTTTCTGCCCTTAGTTACTACCGCTCCTCGTGTTTTTATAATTTGCCACAATGGGGACGAGAGCAGCAGCCCCAACAGCGACAGCCGCAGCAATTAGAGCTCGGAAAAACGAAAACAAAACAATCCCGCAAGAGGCAAAAAGGCGGAAAACAAAACTAAAACACGAAAAATGTGCAAGACAAATTGCCATGCCAGCTTGAGCCAGCCAAAAATAATGCGGAAAGACAACATGCAACATAACAAGTGGCCAAAATGTTGCACAATCGCCAGAATACTGAAAACAAAATCCGGAAAAAAATTATGAATGTAAATGTCTGTATATTCTGCATTATATAATGCCTTAGTTTTCGAAAAATAAATTGGAAGTAAAAAAGCAAAATAGCAAATATGCTTTAAAATGAATTAATGAAGAGCCATTTTTTTTAATTGCAAATGGATTAAAAAGGCATAAATATTCAATTTAAAAAACTTGTTACAGATAAAGGAAAACTTTAAGAAACTGTACTGCAAAAATACAACTTAATCTACTTCTAGATAAACATTTTGTCAAGCTGCTACCCATCTTTTAGCTATTAAAGTTTTGTTAAAAACTTCTCGGATTATTATAATGACTCCATTAAATTGCCGTTCCATTCTCGTCTTTCGAAACTCAATATTCGTTGAGCCAACGCAGTGAGTGGGCCAGGCCCAGATTATTTTCCTTTTTCTTCATTTTTATCCGCCCGACAAGTACATCAAAATAGTTTTCCCCGAAATACTTGGAGAAGCGGAAAAAAGTGGACCGCAACAGGCACTTGTAATTTGTTTTTGAGCCAAGGCAAAAGGAATAAATCAATAAAACTAAAGCATGGTCAGGCATAAAATGTTGTCGAGGCTGCCATGAAAAACTCTTGGCCCGAGACATGGGTTTTGGGTTTGAGACCGTTTCTCGGTTTCGGTTCGGTTTCGGTCTCGTTTCTCGAGTGTCCACTTGGATCAACCTCGAGGCTCGGTTGAGTGCACCCACCCATCCATCGAACGCCCGCTGAAAATTGTATTCTGGGATTTCCAATGAAATACAATGCAATCCAAATATTGATTTGCAGTAATTGTTGGCATTATTATTATGCGAGCTGATTAATGCGACAAACGACAAATAACAAGTCCCCCGGCCGGATGTGTTACGTATTCCCGGTCGTATTTCTGTAGCTCTCCCCCGAAATCCAAGCCACAATATTAATACAACATTTATGAGTCACTTATTGTGCGCTCATTATGTAAAGGGCCGGTCCAAGGAGGCAGGGGTCAGCATTAACCAGCAAATGACCCGCACAGCTGGTGGCATTGACTTTACCACCCACAGCCACCCAAACAACCACCCACTTTCCAGAGGTACGAGTTGACTGCATTCTGTTTGGCCCACATTTGTCGCTCTTTTGGGTTATTGGACGCACAAATTAGCGGAAATTATGCAACGATAATTTTGTTCGACTGTTGGCAAGTCGATTCGTTTTATAGATTCCTTTCCTGCGTTCCTGCGGTTGATGGGCGTTTATTATTGCTATTTTTGCATTTACAACGAAACCGCAAATTGCTCTATATTTCCAGGAACCAGAAACCATTGGGCGATAACTTTTACGGCCCAATGTCCCTGATAACTAATTTACAAGCGTAAGAGGATTTATCAGCCATAAGAGGATAACAAGGCTTACCATATGTATGTGTTTCAAAGGGTTAACTGCGCAAATACCGTAATGCAATTATAGTTAAATAATAGGGGAGCATATGGGATAGTTGTTGCTATTTAAAATAAGAGATAGAATGTATTCCCATTTAGTTATGCTTTATGAGTACAGCATTACAATATCAAAGGACATTTGCGCATTTTTGGAAATAAGCCTTAAATACATGCTAATTTTAATTTATTCCAATTTGTTCGAGGTCGCAAAAGTGGTAAAAGTGAAATTAAATAGTTAAATATTAAATAGATATTTTTCTGTCGTTATGGGGTATCGATGTCGACTTGATATGCGGGTACATAAATTCGTTATGCTCGAAATGTAAGCAAAGCCCAGTTCGAATTTCAAATGTGTTTAAGCGCTGTAA